AAAGTTATCATTACAATAATGATCTTGTAGAAAAATACATGTGTCATTATAAACGCTATATTTGTCAGTTCTCGACAGTTAAATGGAACTATTTTCTGAACTTATGCTTTAATATTCATAGAAGTAAAGTACTTAAGCTGACAATGCAGTTGGGCTGTATTTAAAGTTCGATGCCAAGAGTTGAAGATGCCAAACAATAGGCAATATGGCTCTACGGTTCAGTTGTATAGTTCCGCCAATGGAGCTGTCGATCTTTCGCACAGGAAGCAATTCTCATGCCACCATGTGCTCAAATTCTAGCGCAGTGTTTGAAATCATTTTGTAAAAGACTATCCATTCTAGTGATTTTAACCCAAAACTTATAGTAAGTAGAGACTTAATTCAGTCAAATAATAAAACTACAAGTAAAATGTTTTTGAAAAGAATGTTTGTTGTTTGAAAGTAAATTTCAAATAAATGGCGCTGTTTGGGATGCGCTTTGATATGTTTTGTATTTACTTGATATGGGTTCACTACACTTAAATTTTATCGAGCGTCGTGTATCGGTGTACAATGAAGTAAAAAAATATATTTTCAACTCCAATCGTAACATTAATATTTATTTGTTTATTTTGTTCTTGAAGCTAAATGTTTGTTAGTACACAAACTGCCTTATAATATTTGTTTTTCGAAGAAACATAATTCTGTGTCTGGTCTTCGTACGCGACACATTCGTATAAACATAAAAATAATTTTATTATTTTCATGTTTATATTATATTGCGTAGTTTTTAAACATGTAACGAAGAATCATTTATTTACTAGACTTATTAAATATGTCGATAGAGATATTTTATAAAAATGAATTATTGATTTGACCGACATAGCCCAAAAGTTCAGTAAGTTGAAGTTGTAGTTATCATGTGTTCTGTCGGAAGGTCAATGGTCGTTGGAGCAGGAAAGTCCTGGATTGGAGGCTATTCGCTTTCGCACTGGATCTGACACTGGTTCTGGATCGACATCTTAAAAAGGCCTATGTTTTGCAGTGGACTTGTAAGGGTGGTGTCAATAAATGATTTTTAAACACATTATATTTTACCTAATCATCATTTTTGTTTTTTAGGGTCAAATCTAATAAAATGTTTTTTAGCTTTCTATACCAAATTTTAACTACTAATAAAGTTAAAAAAATACTTTGTTTTTTTTTATTTATTAGTCCTTAGCTTTTCACATTAAAATTTAATTGTGATTTTATTTTAACATAACTTCGAAAACAAATTATAAGAAATGCAATAATATGTATGGTACTTTTGTTGTGACCATTTTGGCGCTAATAGACACATTTATATTTAATTGTACTTATCTTATTAGATATAAATATTTAAAAAATTAAACGCGCTTAAAAGCTCTTCAAAATATTTTTTCATAACTACACCGTTATCGTTAATGTACTCGTATTTTATATGTATAGATTTTAGTTGTTCAGGTTCTTTATATATCCATAACGAGATCTAGGCATAAAATTATAACAAGGTAAGTGCATAAAATTTTGCATTTGTGGTACAAATTTTTACGTGAGTTTTATTAGGCAACGTATGCAGCAACCATCTTGTTGCCAGTTAATGAAGGTATTGTGTCTCGTTATAAAACTTTATCATCTATATTTATTGTATTCATTTGTAATAGTTGGTGTCTTATTCATATTGGGAAAATATATTTAATGAATACAAGTGTAGTGTTTGCCAGGAATCGTAAGTATTACGTCAACACTTGTTTTCACTTTTTCCTGTCACATTTGCGTAGGGTGGAGTAAACCATAAGTGTAGTGCGGTAGCTAGCGGTGGACTCTTCACAGTCCAGCTGGCTGAATGCCAGTTGCCTTCGTAGTCACTCGTTAGCTTCTGAACAACTCCGCGGTATAATAGTTTTGTTGTTTCGCCGCTTGTTTTTATTTAATCCAGTAACTGGAGCACTAGTATATTTTAAACATTTCTTTTACTTTTCTACGTGTTTCTCTTAATTGCATATTTATTTTTAATTTCTCGATTTCTTGCATTTTTAAGTTAGCTATGGTATAGAATTACAACAACCACAAATCATTCACCCCATTTCTTCTAGCAGGTGTCGTAAAGACGTAGGAAGCTCGTAGAAGCTCGTGAAAAATGTCAAAATTATTTGCTGGTTTTTGATTAGATGGTGCGGTGGTTGCGATTTTCCGTTTACGCCACGGGAAGCAGTCATCATATGTCCAGCTAGTGGATCTTTACTGGCTGATAAAAAAGATATTATAAAGAATATTAACGTTATAGCTGATAGCTTGTGTTACCTTTCCCGTCTAAGCTAAATTCATTTGTAATCACAATTATTTATTAGTGGTTTCGTCATTTTATTGTAAAAAAATAATTGTTTGCTGGATATTTTATAAACAAAAATAAGTGTCAAGATACTTAAGATGATATTGAATATCTTAGCACTTATATTGAGTACTTATTTTTATTAAGACTTCCGTCATATTGAAATAAAACGTGCGATGAGGAAGAATAATATTTTGTTTATTAATGTGTTTGAAATATCACGCATTTCAGCTAAACGATTTGCTTAGTTTAAGATAGGAAAATTTGCGAGCGTCTTTCTATCCGATTACAATATCAATCTCTATAAAGCAAGAGGATAGAAGATAGGTTTTTATTAGGTAATGCAGTGTTCTTTACCATCTTTGGCTACACCACCGTTTATAAGTCATATTAAATAAGTAAAAACATATCGTTATGAGGACAGAGGTTGATTTCGATTCGAAGATATTCCTGATATGGGCATGGTAGCTTTCGCTTTTTTTTTAAATACCATTATACTCGTAATCAGATTATTTAGCTTTAAAATATTTTATCATGATGGAAAATGAGCTAATTGCATAGGAATGGCCAATTAAATTATAGTTTACACTTTAACAGCGACCATTAAGATTGTTTGGAATGACGGCAGAAACTAATTGGGTTCAATTTGTTGAACAATGGTTACTCGACGACTACGGTCGTTTAACTAACCAAATATAATGCAGATCATGCTGATTTTAGGTCGTTTTGCTAAGCCTTAATTGGGGTCCCAGGTCTAATCGTCATCGCAAGATAACTAGTTACGTCAATAGTGTGCTAAAAATAAACTTTATGGAAGCGTGCGTGAGAATGTTTAAAATGACTTGGTATGGTCGCGCAGAATGAGGTCATTTCCCTTTCATTGTTAGTTTTTTGATGCTTTGTTTATGTTATAAAACTAGGTTAAAGAAAAATATATAGACGGCCATTAAAAGCAACAAAAATACAAATTAAGCCGTACGGCCTCTTTTATAAATCTATAAATGATATGCATTGACGTATATATATGTTATTTAGCATTGTATACAATATTGATTTCTATCTAAGAAAGTATAATATGCATGAGAAAATGTAAAATATGTAATGAATCGATTTCTTTAATACGTCTTATTATATGTAGATATACTAAATATTACACATTGAAACAACCTTAATTTACGTTCTTATTTTGTATTCCCGATTTTTTATGTAATCTGCACCATTCACGACCAACTGGACGCAGAAATATTTTATTTTATAATGTAAATAAAAACTATTATCCGTCTTATAACAAAAGATAGTCTATAATTAGTCTCAAACTTTTTTTATAGGGTAGGTGACAAACGAGCACACAGTCCACCTGATGGTAAGTGGTTGCTGTGGCCCATAGACATCTACATCCATCCTCGATTACGAATTAAAATGTAGATGCGTTTTGAAATAATACTAGTTTTTACGGAATTTATCGCGTATATTTAACTTTTTAATTACCCGACGTTTCGAACGCTTTACAGCACTCATGGTCACGGGCAGGACTGAGATGTTCAACGTCCATATGTCATAGTTAACCGCGGTTACCATAGATTAAAATTTTAATCTATGGTAACCGCGGTTAACTATGACATATGGACGTTGATAAATTCCGTAAAAACTAATATTATTTCAATGTGTAGTGTTCGCGTAAATATAAGAAATCATTATGTAGATGCGTTGTCACCCGTGAGGAATAAGATGGAATGCCTCTTTTCCAGTAAAAAGGTTCTCCGGTTCTCTACATTCACCATGCGAAACACAGCATCATTACGTTTATTAAGCATTACTACTATTTCACGCTGGTATTCTGTGAGAGCGTGGTCCTTCCCCGGTCGAGCTGACCCATTCATGCTACAACTATACTACTAATAATCTCTATCACGGCTCTATCACATATATGTAGATATAACGTTTTAAAATAAAAGTAAAAATACTTAGTTAGTTATAACCTTCTTAAATTTTTCTGCCATCAATAGCAGTGCTTGCATTGCTGTGTTCCGGTCTGAAGATTATGAGCATCTGTTGCTTTATTTGAATGAAGTTGGCTTCTGATGTCCATAGACTACAGTAGCCACATATCATCTTGACTATTAATTTGTTTATCATTTCAGTTGTATAAAAACAATATCAAACGATTTAGGGGGTGGATTTTGGTGGATTTAACACATTTTTCTTTTTTATTAGCCCTTTATTGTACAGAGCTGCGCTTGAGCTTTTAATATTGCAAATTAGCCTTTAAATTAATAAAATATACTATCATATTAAATAGATGTTGATTTTTTGTGAAAATTAATTCTATATAAGTAAAATATATTAAGCTTTTGAAGCGACAGTAGTCTAATAGGGCGCGGATCGCGAACTCAAAGGGCCGTGGGTTCGAATCCGCCATTTGACTACTGTCGTGAACCACTCCTAACACAAGCGTTTCAAGCTTACCAGGAGTGATTAAAAGGAATATTAGTATGTTAATAAATGAGATTAGTAATATTAAAAAAATCCATTACAATTTGGAATGAAGGTTTAGATTTTCTGTATTATGTTGTATCGACAGTTCCAGGTACGCATGAGCGGTTGAGTTTGGTGGGTGTGGAAACGAGAAAAGTGGAGGCAAGGCGGTGGGGGCGAGCACCTGCGCAAGATGCACCCTGAAGCACTGTGCAGCCGCGCGCGCCAGCCAGACTGGCGCCTAACAACCGCCTCCGTAAACTCTCTCAACCCCCTCCCACAATTTTGCTCTACTCCCACGTTCGCGTTTGTTTTCAACTGTGATTGATAATTTGTTATTGAAGTGCGTGCGTATCTCGTTTCAAAAATATTATTAACGCTGTAGTAATCTACGACTATCTTTTGAATGCACATGTTTTAAATGTAATATTCAACTCAAAGGTTATGGCCTTGTTTCGGGTATATTTATTAAAAAAAAAGGTATTAGAGTTTCGTAAATAATAAATGTTGTACTTAAACGTAAGAAAAACGAATCTCTATTTATTTATTTATTCCTTATTGTAGGAACACCAAAATACAAAAAAACGAGTAGAGTTCTATCAACAATATAATATGTACAACAGGCGGTCTTATCACTTGGAAAGTGACCTCTTCTAGACAACCTTTACGTAGGGGCTAATGCAAATAATGACTAAAATAGAGAGAAGAGTACAAAAAATTCATTGATCCTGCAGGCTACCCCTGGAAATTCCCGCTAATTTCAAATGCATAGCGCTCCAAATTTCACCAAAATATGACGTTGAATATGAAAGTCGGAGTAATTTACAAAAAATATTTATTTTAATTTTTCGTTAACGATATCTCACGAACGAATCAACCGATTTTGACTTAGCTGGTGGCGATATACGTGGTTTTTCAACGTTAAAAGCTGATTAGTTTTCGGACTCGATCCTTAAAGCCGTTAAAAATATTCCAAAAAAAAAAGGTTTTTCAAAATTTTCATTTTTGAGATTTCTCAAAGCCATTCAAAAGCTGTAAACCTCTTACAGCTTTTGAATGGTTTTGCTTTTTGCTTACAGCTTTCGAACACACAAACACACACACATACACACACACACCACACACACACACACACACGTAACATTCCTTTAAATAGTGTGTAGTAGAGGATTAAATAGCACATATTACAAAGCGCAGAGAATGTGACTGCGAAGGCGAATCGAGCACTTGTGCTGTTTGCTGAATTCAGAGATGTGGTCATATTTGTACATTTTAATAATTAAATAGCATATAAAAGGAATTAATTGTATTTGATTTAAATCCATGATTTACATTATGTCGTTAAGATTGCATCAGCAATCAACAACATTGCATCAGCAATCAACAAGCATTGCATCAGCAATCAACAAGCATTGCATCAGCAATCAACAACATTGCATCAGCAATCAACAAGCATTGCATCAGCAATCAACAAGCATTGCATCAGCAATCAACAAGCATTGCATCAGCAATCAACGAGCATTGCATCAGCAATCAACAAGCATTGCATCAGCAATCAACAAGCATTGCATCAGCAATCAACAACATTGCATCAGCAATCAACAAGCATTGCATCAGCAATCAACTCTGAGGTTGTTTATTGTCTTTTAAAATCAAAGGTAATTCTCATCAGCGCTTGGATTCATTTGAAACGAATTGGTTAATCATGAGGAATTGTCAATATTTGTGAAATAAAATCCAGTTTCGCAAGCATTGTTACCAGTAGCAAGTTTTGCACCTACCACGTTCTTTTAAGAATCAATTAATTTTAGCAGAATGCCATTATAAAGATTTGCATGATTATTAAAAATAAATACCAGAGAACAAAGACACCTGTCCGTAAATATTAACACTAAATATAAGGTTATAAGTAAATATAGCGCTGATAAATCGATTAAATTATAATAAACATTACTTTTTACGTTTATAAATTTAAGAAAATGTGTTATTTATTTACCATTTAATTAAAGTACTTACATTATTTTTTTGGTGACATAATGAAAGTCATACATATCTGAATGTAGTTTCTTCGTATGAGGAGCGTTCAATGTATTCTCTGTACGAGGGTGATTTGCTAATAATGTGGGTAATTGAAAAAAATAACTAACTGAGGATATAAATATGAAATTATGTCTTGATAACTTCACAACAACAATTTTAAATGATTTATTAAAGAAAAATTGTACAAAAAGGATTATTATAATATAAATGGATACATAAATGAAAATAACCCCTGAAATTGGGGTTATCGCCACCATGCTGATTCTATAAAAATTCATACAAAAATTGTACAAAGTAAATTTATTGTAAATTGAAATATGTTTAAAAATAAAAGTCGCCCTGGATTTCGTGCTGGTTCTTTCCAGGACAGAGGGTTTTTTGCAAGCCAGTTAAAAATTTCTTTCAATAAGTTATATTTAATAATCTATATTGAATAAAAATCATTCATTTCATTTCTTCATCACTTCTTATGTAACCTACAGTTATAGACGACGGCAATGACTGACTCGACGATATTGAAAAAAATCGAACACCGTGATTAAGTTCCTCACTAAACAAGGAAAAACTCAAATAATCATCCATGAAGAAATGGTGGCCGTTTACTAAGACAACTCCTTCAATGTCAACCGTTCAGAAGTAGTCAAGTGAATTCAAAAAGAGCAGGGAAAGCATCGACGATGACCCCCGCCCCGGTGGGCCAATCATAGCGGCTACAGAACAAAATGAGAAAGTTATTAAAAAACTTATATAAGAAAGTGCACTACTAAGAATTAAGAAGTTAGCAGAAATGACTAACCTATCTACTGGTACCATAGACACCATATTGCATGACTATCTCAACCTCATAAAAGTCGGTGCAAGAGGGGTGCAGTGAATGCTCACTGCGCTTAAGAAGCAGGCGCGGGATGATGTAGGGAGTTTTAAAGCTGTGTGGTGACGACCCAACAAGTGTTTTTTATAGCATAGTTAGGATAGGAGATGAAACGTGGGTTCACTACTATGACCCTGAAAGTAAATAGGAATCTATGCAATGGCATAAAAAGGGATCAGACCTTCAAAGCTACTCCATCGGCCGGTAAAATCATGGCCACAGTGTTTTTGATTCAAAAGGAATATTACTGATCGAGTACACAAAAAAAGGCAAAACTATCAACGCAGACCAATACTCAGCTACTTTACGCTGTTTGAGAGAATCAATAAAAGAAAAGGGAAGAGGAAAACTGACCATGGCAGTGCTGCTTCTTCATGACAACGCACCGGTTCATAGAGCGTGGCTTTCAAAGGCTGCTGTACGGGACTGCTGGTTTGAGGAAATTATCCACTCACCATGCAGCCCAGATCTAGCCCCTAGAGACTAATTTTTATTCCCAAACTTGGAAACTCCCAAACTTTGAAAATTGACCTTCGGGGAAAGCGATTTGCTAACGATAATGAGCTCAACTCCGCTGTAAATAAACATTTTTCAGGCCAAGACGAAGAACATTTTTTCAAGGAAATAAAAACAGCTCTTTCCCCAAGTAAATGTATTGATGTTATACAAGACTATAATGAGAAATAAAAAATATTTCAAAATTTTATCTTTTTTCTCACATACCCTTACCGAGAATACATTGGACGTCCCTCGTAGAGCTTCTGTTATAAGTAATTTTGAATGTAGTTTCAGTCAGGTTTTTTTTATTAAATTATGATATGATAATAAGGTAATATAATAAATTAACAATTATGTAAACGAAAAACATTACTTTATATTTTAGGAGAGATAGTAAAACGATAATGTCACTAGTTTTATTAGTAAAAGTCAAAACTTTTATTTTATTGATCTAAAATCAACTTCTAAATTATAATAACGGGTTTTCTATAATCGCCAGAATATCAACTATTGTTTATTTTATAGATTAATAAACGAAGAAGAGCCGTGGTAGTTCAGAAATTAGTCTCCGTATAGTACGTGAGTAATCCACGTTCGATCCCCGTCGGTATCTGACCATGGGTATTGGAAAGCATCCGAAACGTCGGGTATTAAAAATAAAATAAATGGAACGCGATAAAATCCGTAAAAATAGCTTTAATCAATGTGTAGTGTTCTCGTAAATATTAATAGCATTAATTCGTAAAAATTAATAGCATTCACTATTAATAGCATTTTTAAGATTTGATTTACCCCGAGTTCGAAGGCATATGAAAACATTAGGAGAAAATCTATACTTTTAAAAAGCTCATCAACACGCAATAGAGTAGCGCAATGATTCTCTGCTTAAAAACCCTCTCAGAAATTATTTCTCTAGATGATAAGTCTGTATACGTCACCAAAATAATTTAAAAAATAGTAACTTAGTTTTAGTGTTCGGTGATTTTAGAACATATTATGATTCTGTCTTTCTGTAACCTGTTTCTGTCGTAAGATATATAAAGACGTTGGAGATTGAATGGTTTTTAATAAGATAAAGGTGAAAAACGAACACACAGTCCATCTGATGGTAAGTGGTTACTGAGGGCTAAAGACATCTACATCTATTCTCGATTACGAATTAAAATGCAGATGCGTTGTCACCTATGAGGACTAAAATGAAATGCCTCGTTGCTCTCTACACTCACCATACAAAACACAGCAATGTTGAGCTCCTATTATTTTGTAGGATAGGGTGACAAACTAGCACACAGTCAACCTGATGGTAAGTGGTTGCTGCGGCACGTAGATATCTACATCTATCCTTGATTACTAATCAAAATGCAGATGCGTTGTCACCAGTGAGGACTAAGATGGAATGCGTTTCCAGTAAAAAAAGTCTCCGGTTCTCTACACTCACCATACAAAACATAGCAGCATTAAGCTACTATTTTGTGACAGCGTGGTCCCTTCGCGGTCGAGCCGATTCTTTATAGTAAAAAAGGAGAACCGCTGGTAATCGTCATTCCTTTATTTTAGTTTATGGAATTTTCGTTTATATTATACCCTTATATTTATACCCTCATATTCATATTTTACTACCACCTCGCAATCATTTATACTCGAATACATAGTTCGAAAAATCGCTCTGAGTTCTTACAACCTTATTAGCTATTGACACTTATGCGCCCTTAAATTGAGTGAATAATAATTGTTCAACAAAAAGTTTTTAATAACTATAGGGTCAATCGGAATTTCATTCCACTTTGTAAATGGTATTAATATTTGAATTCAATTTTAAGTATATAGTTTTTTATAAGGGTATATAAGTGTGACAAACGAGCACACAGTCCACCTGATGGTAAGTGGATGCTGTGGCTCATAGACATCTACATTTATCTTCAATTAAGAATCAAAATACAGATGCGTTGCCAGCTCTGAGGACTGAGATGGAATGCCTCATTTCCAGTAAAAAGGGTCTCCGGTTCTCTACACTCACCATACAAAACACAGCAGCATTAAGCTGCTATTTTACGCTGGTATTCTGTGAGGGCGTAGTCCTACCCGGTCGAGATTTCGATTATATTAAAACTTATAACGGTTCAAAGCCCAGTAATTATTCCAATAAATAATTTGTCTTTATTTAGATAATAAGGCAATCAATTAAATCCAGTCATATTGGATCAGTTTTTAGAGTTCCGTACCTCAAAAGGTGGTCACTGTGTAGTGGTGGTGTGTAGTTATGTGCGTACCGTAAGAGGCGATTTTGATATTTAGTTCAAATAATTTAGATAGCAGATTACAACAGTTTTATTTCCAAATAAAACTAGCTATACTACTTTTAGGTTATAGGTTGCTTCAAAATAGAATCAAGTTCGGTTTGTTCGAATTAAATTGTATATATTTAGGCAAATAAGCCTTGAGGACTTCGTCCGAAAACGTAAATAACGTGAACAGCATATTTAAATATAGCGGCGACAAAGAAATTCCTTAGCAAATTCACCCTCGTTACTAGTGGTCGAGTGTAAGTAAAGGTTTATTTTTCGAATAAAAAGAGCTGCTCGAACGAAACGAGCTTTATGTTCTTTTTTAAAAGAAATCGAAGTAACATAATTTCTTTTTGGTAACACTAATTTGGTAGGTGGTGATACATTTGAGGGTGTTCAAGATAAATGAAGTTATGTAGGTAGATATCCAATGTGGCAAATTTTCTGGGTCCTTTGCTGACCTCTGAACAACCGTGGGCATAGAAGGCGCCACGCTGTACAGTGTACACTTAACAGAAATTCTTTCCATCTAAGGTTAATTAAATATTTATATATATATATATATATATATATATATATATATATATATATATATGTATATATATATATATATATATATATATATGTGGGATTATCTCAAAAGAAAAGTCACGGGATCACTTATTTAACTTTTATTTTACTTTTTTAGTAACACCTCCTCCGCAAGTCGCGTCCTTCCTTCCTTCACTTATATCCGAGAGCAATTTTGGGAAATGGTAAGGATGAAGTTTATGAAATGAATGGGAAATGAAAATATTATTATGCTAGGAGATTTAAATTAAGGGTTCGAGTGAAGAGGCTTGGTTATAAAAGGATATTGGGAACGTTTGGTGATGAAAGTATAAATAAAAATATCGAAAGCCTCCTCACCATAGGTGTGGAAAATAATTTTTTTGT